AAAATAAGAAAGCAAGAAAAACAGAGAAGACTTAAAATTTCACATGCCTGGGCATATAGTTTTTTTTCTTTGTTTTTTTTTGAGAGTGAGTTTTCCAGTTTCATTATGGAGGTAAAGGCGTTGTCAGCATTGAAACCATTGATATCAAGTCAGAAAAACTTATTTGAGTTTATTGTACTGATATTTCATCAAATGCAAGTTAGAGGATTCTGAATTCAATGGCCCACTTTCTCATCCTGCCTAAGTCCATATGACGTTTTGACTATGGCTGCAGATTTCCAGCACGCGTTATTGATTTTTATCTCACTCGTTTCTATTGGCAGCTTGTTTTAACAGAAAAAGAAAAGGTAGTAGGTTATAAACTGAGATTGTACTGTGATAGTGCACTCTGAAGCAGGCCTCCACGTGCTAGGATCTCCAACCCTCTGGCTATAATAAAACTTTCTATATTTGGTTGTGATTTAGCTCATGAGTTGGTTTGAGGTATCTAAAGTGTAATCAATTAATTAAGCTCCAGCCCCATAGCTGGCATTCTACATTCTCTGATATATCCTTTTAAACTGGGGACATTATGCTGATTAAGGGTTTTGCCTCTATTTAACACTCCACATATTTTATGAATTTTCAGGATTTGAACCTCTGTGTGACATTGGTTTGAATGATTTCCATCAAAACAAATTGAGCCCCAACACTTAGAACTGAATTGCTTTGTGAATTGTCTTTTCCCTTTGTTTCAATACTTTTACAATTTTCATTGCCATTTAAATGAAATACCCTTGATCTTCTTGGTATCATGATGGGTTCCTATTACTCCCAGCTTTAAGAATCCGGAAGCAAGTTTGATTTTGTGCATTGTTGTTTGCAGAAAGATGGACCCTGCTAGCTGGGTGCCCAAAAAAGAAATGTCCTTGTCTGCATCCTTTCTCTGGAGCATGATTCTGTCTGTGCGAAGGATTATTCTTGCTGTAATATCTCCCGAAGTGATTGAACAAGTAATTTTTTTTCTTTTCTCTGATGTGCTGCTTGATATTCTGAATGCTGATGACGCTCTTCAAAGTATTTTCAATCTATTCATTTCACTGACCCCAACAAGGGTGGTCATGTCCATAGAAAGGCTAAATTTTGGGCTGAGATAGTCCCTTTCTTTTAAAAAATCAAACAAGTAACAGATCCAGGAATGGATACCTTATTTAGGTTTCACATTTGTTCTTAACTTATACATTTTAGTTCCTAGTGGTAGTACATTAAAAGGCCACCTGCTACTCATTTTTAAGGATTCTAAAGGTACAGATCAAAAAAAATGATGGAGGAAGGAGTGGGGTTTCTTTTCATTTCAGATCTGTCCATGTGCCTCTTCTCCAGACCTCCTCTTCTCAGATTTTCTAATTTTGTTCCAGCCCCCCAACCAATGATGCAAGCCATTCATCACGGAGTCTGTATACATTCTTACCTTGGGCCATTTTCTTTCCACACAAAGTGAGTGATAGCAATTAATAATAATAAAACAGCAAAATCATATAAAAATACTTTGTACAACTGTGGTTGCATAAATTTAAAAGATTGGTTGAAACAGATAATTTTCTTGAAAATATGTACACACATTGAGGCTTGACTCAAGGAGAAGTAGAAACCATAGAAAGATTAATAACCATGGAAGCCACCAAAAAGGCTGAGAGAGAATTAGCTCCAGCACTGTCACTGGGGACCTAATTATTTTAGAATTGAGTTCCTTCAAACTTTTAAGAATCAGATAATTCTCAGGCTATATAAATTTGTGTGTGTGTGTGAATTTAGAAAAATGTACTGTATATTCTTTGGGGTAATATTGATTGGCATTACTATACTGACGTAACTCCTGCCTTCTGCTGTGATAATGAACAAAGACTCCAGGCCGAGGAGAGAGCTTGGGGTGAGTCCTTGGCTGGGGTGATTGAGGAACAAGAAGGAAGAGGTGGTTCTCACAAATTATGTAAATACCAAATATTAACTTCTTAGATAAGATGTGAATGACCATCCTATTAACCTCCCAGTGTTTAATTCTGTCATAGCACCCTATGCGTATCTCAGGTTATTGGTTGTATCCATTCCTTGATTATCCATTTTATGGTGGAGTCACTCACTAGAGGTGAACTTGAGGGTAGGGAATGCATCTTATTCTTCTTTACATCACTAGCGCTTTTACAGTGCCTGTCATAGATGGGTCCTCAATGCATGTTCAGTGAGTGAATGAATAAGTAGGTGAGTGGATGAATGAGTGAACAGAAGGGTACTCTGCTCACTCTATGAAACTAGCAGAAATCTTGATATTGAAATAGAAACAAAAAGAAAGCTTTAGACTTAGGTCACTTATGAATAGGTATGCAGCATCCTAAATTCTAGCAAACCAAATTCAACAGTACATTAAAAGAATCATCCAGTATGACCAAAGAGGGTTTATCCTGCAACTGCAAGGATAGTTTTCTATTAAGAAAACTATTGCTGGCGGTATGGAAATGTAAAGTGTTACAGCCATTTTGGAAAGCAATCTAGCAATATCTATTAAAGTTAAAAATATATATGTCTTTTGAGCCAGATATTCCACTCCTGGGAATCCATCTCAATAGAAGTAAAAGGACAAGTGCATAGGGACACATGTATAAAATGTTTATTGCAGCATGGCTCAGAGAGGCAAAAAAGTGGAAACCAAGTGAATGCCCATCAGAGGGGAGGAGCTGAGTATATGATGGTTCATCCACACTGTAGTGCATTATGTCCCCTTCAAAGAGAATGAATTAGAGCTAATCCACCTGATTTCCACGAAGTATTATTAAGTGATAAAAATCAAGGTGCATAAAGGTATATAAGAGGATCCCATTTTGCTAAAAAATAAAGACCAAACTCAAAAAGCAAAAGGAAAACAAACAAATCCCTGTATCTGTATATTCACTAGTTGAACAGCTATGAACTATATTACTTCTTTTGAGTTCAGTTTCCTTGTTTGTGAAAGTGGGATGATGATAATGCACATCTCATAGGACTTTTGTGAAGATGAAATGAGTTAATACATGTAAAATTCTTGGTATATAGAAAGTACCTGAGAAATATTAGCTATTGTTATGATGATGTTATAATGATGACATTAGTAGACCTAAATAGAATATGCAGAATTCAAAGAAAATTTGGAAGAACACATAGTAGATTATTAACCTGGTTACTTTATGTATCAATGAGGGATTGATGTGGGTTGAAGGGAGAAGGAAGGTCCAAGTAAATAAGGAAAAGAAAATAAAGGTATATTTTCCATTTATGCATTTATGTAGAACTGTGGCACATGGGACTATGTATAAAGAAATAAAATACTTGTAAAAGGAAATATTTATTACTAAGTATATTAAATCAGTAGACCCAATAATGTAGTGCAAAATAATATATGCTAAAAAGACATTTACTAAAATTTAATCCCATCCCTCCTTAAATATAAGCCTAAGAAAACTTTGAAAGGTGTTTATTTAACGATATAAAGGAAAATACATTAAACACCAGCCATCATTAACTGTAATGGGAAAACATTAGAAGAGGGTTTCTTGAAGTATATTTTCTGGAATACTAACTCCACAAGTGGAGTAAGAGAATTCCCTCGTGCAGTGGTTTGGGAACATGATGCTCACAGATAGTCCGCACCTGATTCACAGTATCGGCATGGCAAAAGGCCTAAGTCCTTTTTGACCTTTAGGTTCTAGGTAAAGTGCCTCTTCTTTAGAGGAAACCCTTCTTTCCTTCTCTGTCATATTGCTCTGCTTATTTCTTTCAACTGTAATCATTAATTAAGAGAACTCCACTGAAATGCAGTGAAATATTCTTAAGAATTTTCTCCTGTGTGTTCTAACTGTTGTTAGATCATAAGCTCCATTGATTTAATCAGTCTTCCTGCTAAATTTTTTTTTTCTTAAGGAATTTTTGAAGAAGCTTGTCCTTAGAAAATCAATTTCTGTGGCCATTGCAGCTGAGGGTCATGATTACCTTATTTCTACTGTATGGATTGCTTGTTGAGAGGTATAGGCTCATGGTAGAATTTCCGGCCTCAGTTCTTCATACTCGCAAAAAGGAGGCAGTTATTCTTTTTTTTTTTTTTTTAATTTTTGGCTGTGTTGGGTCTTCATTGCTGCACGTGGGCTTTCTCTAGTTGCAATGGGCAGGGGCTACTCTTCGTTGCGGTGCACGGGCTTCCTATTGCAGTGGCTTCTCTTGTTGCAGAGCACAGGCTCTAAGCACGTGGGCTTCAGTAGTTGTGGCACACGTGCTGAGTAGTTGTGGCGCACGGGCTTAATTGCTCCGCAGCATGTGGGATCTTCCTGGACCAGGGATTGAACCCGTGTCCCCTGCATTGGCAGGTGGATTCTTAACCACTGCGCCACCAGGGAAGTCCCGAGGCAGTAATTCTTGCATCTCATCGTGCCTAGAAGTGTTTCATGCACAATAGAACACATATTTTTATGAAGTCCTTTGGGTTTCCCTGATGGAGTGAGTTTGACATTGGCAAGACAGTGTTATGATCGCTATCAGTGTTCAAAGGCCACTTTTCTTTCTCGTGGTCAACCTTATAAAGCCATGAGTATGGCCAAACAGCTAAGTTATCTCTTATCCTTCCTAGTGCTTTGTGTTAAGATCTGTTTAAGCCTGTGCTTCTTTTTTTTTCTTTCCTTTTTTGGTGGGTGGGGTGGTCAAGAGAGGTTTTCAGAATTGAAGGAATTTCTTTACTTTCTTTTCCCTCTTGTGATCACAGAATAGCTGCGCTAAGCCTTCATGCTTGAGCAGAACGCCGGCATAGATAAAGTATATGTTTGCCCCTCATCAGCTGGGCTGAATGTCTGTGTTGTACTGCAGTGATTATAGCCACAGTCACATTTTCTGATTGCTGGCATTTCTACGAGCTACCCTTCGATGAAAAAATCTCTGTTTGTCCTGAACCGATAACCACAGATGGGCTATTCAACCATCTTTATTACTTCTTTCTCCTCCAGGTCCTCATGAACATGGAAGGCATAAAAGTCCGTGAAATGGAGATTTTTGACTACAGGAAAAAAATCGCTGAATCAGAGACTAAATTAAAACAGCAACAGAACCTGTATGAAGCTGTGCGGTCAGACAGGAATCTGTATAGCAAAAATCTGGTTGAAGCTCAGGTAAAGAATATATTTATGTCTTTACATTTTGATTCTTCCCCATCCTGGGTTTAAAGCAGTTTCTGTTATCCTAATGGCAGGATTTAAAATAGATGCAGAAAGAAATATCGTGGAATTCACCTGAAAGAGAAGATCAGTTTATGCAGAACTGTCAGATTGTTTGAAATGGAAATAACGAAACTTGATTGGATGCGAAGATCATGGTGCTGGTTTTAATTATTATGTAGAATTGCCATTCTCCTCTTTCTAATTTTTAAAACTGCTAATAGCTACCATGACTCAGAGGGGAGCAGTATACACTTGTCATTTAATTGCAGAGCTTTGCTTTGTAATCTTTTAGTTAAAAATGCTTGTTGTGATTCCAATTCCTCTCTTGTACAGTGAAGAATAAAGTAAGTGTGTGTGTGTGTGTGTGTGTGTGTGTGTGTGTGTGTGTGTGTATGACATATTCATTATGTATACTTTATCTCATGAGAATATTTGGAGAGTTAATGCTATAAAGCACTTTGAGGTTGATGGGCACAAGATACAAAGGAATAGCCCAGTCGAGACCATTGTTTTGAGTGAGTCTCCCTTAAAAGCTCTTGAATGTGTTTTGAACTTCCATAGGCATGGTGATGTCTATTTAATTCACTTTCAAACATTGCTCCTTTTATTCTGTTAGGATGAAATAACGGAAATGAATAGAAAATTAAAGATTATGACTCATCAGGTAGATCAATTGAAAGAAGAAATCTCAGCCAAGGAGTCAGCACTTGTGAAGCTACATCTGGAACAACAGCACATAGAAAAGGAGAAGGAAACGTTGAAGGTACAGACCTTATAATAAAAGCAATGAACCGATAGTCAATCTATTAGACCTATTGGGGCCAGGCTCCATGCTCATGGAGGGGAGTAAGGGGGCAGGAAAAACAACCAAAGCACCTGGAGGATGACCTCCACCACCTCCAGGTCAGTCTTCCCTAGAGGAGTGCTCTCAGGTAGAATGGGGAGGGGCCGGTGGAGATGCAGAGCACCTAGTTTACCTGTGATGGCTATCATGGCATCAGTGCAAGAGAACTTAGCAGGTCCCAGGAAGTCCTGGAACTTTCAGGCTGACCACAATCTCTTTGCATTTACAGCCCAAGTCCAGCACTTTGCCTGTACTCAACCCTCCCAAACTCCTCCCTGGGGCTTCTATAAGGCAATGCTGGCAGGACCCTTTGTCCCTCTGTCCTAATACTTGTTTACTTCATGTGCATGTGCCTTTGCTGCCCTCAGCATCATTAACTACCAGGTGTCAAGCTTTGTCCTCACTTGATTTGCCCTCAACTAGGTTCATTGTTCCCCTTACTTCTGTGAATCTAAGAACTTTGCAGTCACTCCTCTAGGGAATCACCTTTGTCTTCACACGTATTACTAAGATATATACTTTTAAATCTACTAATTTAGAACATTCTATGTCTACTAATATAATATAAAGACTCTTCCCCAAAATACATGCCAAATAATTATACCATATCAAATCCTTGAACTACATGTTTTACTGTACACATTCACGAAACCTAATGTATTTCCCTTTTCCTATCCAATCCAGTAGATTTCCCTTCTAATCCATTTGACAGAAGAATTAAAAAAGGAACTTCTAAGAGAATGATGCCACTTTTATTTTTTGCATATGTTTATGAGCCACTTGCAGGAACTTTCTACAAACAATGAGACTGGTTACCTCAGTTTCTGCATATAATTAACTTCAGAGATAGTTCCTGTCTTGAAAACGTGTATCTCGTGTTGGACAGGTTTAATGCCAAATTTCCTTGATTCCATGATGCCATAGATTGACCTATGCACTCTCAGTTTAATAATAGGTTTTGTCAACTTAATGATAGGTCTTCATGGAAACAGAACTACTACATTAAATTAAGATACATGAGGTCTGAGAAAGATTAAAATGTAACAAAAGTGCCTTTACAATAGAGATATGTTAATTGATTTATTTACCTAAAACTGTCATCTCCCCACTCTAGTTCATGACAGAAAAAAACAGAAAATTCTGTACTAAAGTTTATTTACATATAAAGAAACATAAATATATTTTCTAAAATTTGAAAATATCCTGTGTCTTTGTCCTTATTTTCCTTGTTTGAAAACAGTTTTATAGAAGGTAGTATGTTTCTGTACCACCCTGGAGTCTATAGTGGGATGGGGTTTATTTATTATGGGCTGAATCAGAAGAATCTTATTGTAAACGTTGCTTCACCCACAGGCCTCATGGACCCACGTTAGCAAGGCTTCAGTGTAACTTGACTTGGTACATCATCTCTTCGTTTCAGGGGATGACATTGATCCTCATCTCTTACTTTCCCAAGTAATGCTCTTCTCAAAAGATTAACTATTGCTGCATAATGGGGTCCAAGGTAGACAAAATCCTGCTTTAGAATAAGTAATGTCCTATGCAAAAAAGCAATTACTCCTGATTCCTTAGTTTGACTTTGGTTAATATTGGTTTCAATTACACCCTCCATCATTAGACATCTACACACATAGCTCCAAAGAAGCATCATAATAAAATAAAGGATAATAGGGTCCTGTTTTTTGGTCCTGGGCCAGCAGAGTTGGCAGCTTGTGAATAAGAGAGATGATTAAAGGGCTTCTGCTCTAGAGAGTCTGCTCTAAATGAGGAATCCTAGGTCTGGATAGCTTTGGGTCATCGATTATAGGAAGATGGTTGCTTTGGACTTGCTGTGAAACTAGGATGCCTTTTCCTCAGGTTTTCCCATTAAGGCAAGAATTAGGAACAGAAAAAGGCTGCCTCCTTGATTTATTATTTGAGGTTATCCAAGGGGAACTTGCAATGGTGCTTTGACTGGATAACTTTGGCCTATCCTTAAGCCCATTTGACATTCTTTAGAAAAATGTGACAGCTTGAATGTTGAGTTTCATTTAGCCTCTTGACTTTTTTGGCCTCAAAGATGAATCACGTTTACAGAGGTCTCTGGATTTCATGCATCTGAGGTTCGCGAACCAAAACCCTGGAGGGGAGGGCAGATTTTCTAGTAACTTTGCTCCATGAGAGACATGTAGTTTATTATTATGGGTTCTACAAAGCTATGTGGCTACATAAGCCCTCCCGGAAGGGCAGGCCCTAGCCTCTTTGGTAGACCATGAGATGCCTTTTGACAGGACAACCCAATTTACTGCTTCTCCAACTCGACAGACAAACAATCGTCCGTAATAGGTCATCCCCATCCTCATTCATCCCCCTCAAAAGAAAAGTCTTGCTTCTTCCATGTTTCTTTTTCCTTTTCAGTTGCTACCAGGCTCTCCTGACTCCTCAGGATTCTAGACATTGTCAGCACATGATGGTTATGACAGAATGTCAGTAGATCTTTGTAGATGTTGCTGCATCTGCGTTCATCTGCCCATTGTGTCCCCATCTTGTTTCATCAGCACTAAAGGGGCCGTCTCATGTGGAGTGTCTGCCTTCCAGTCCTAACAAGCTCTCGATTCTGTTTGTCACCTCCCAATCATCCCACATCAATCTGACAGCACTTTGACTCTTGGTGAATAATTCAGCAGCAAATTCTCTATGTCCAGAGCTCAGCATCACATTAGCAACTGGCTTCAGGGCACCATATCCCTGTACTTAGTTGACTCTCTAGAGTGACACGGATGGGAACTGTCAGAGGAGAGTGGGGGAGACAGAGAGAAAGCCTAATTATTCTCATGGCCAGAAGACTTTAGGTGGTCCTATTTGTTCTGCTAGAAATAAACAGATGGTTTCTGTGAAACCCAGTGAATGTTGGGATCCTGTATGAATGGGTGAAACTCCCTCAAGTATGATTCTTGAGATATGACTTATGCCTGCAGCAAGATTGGATGATATATATTCTGTAAACACCTGTCACAAAACTGTAAAATTGTAGAGGCAGTGACTAAAGAGTGTGTCCTGCCATTGTTTTACAACTTCATACCTTGGGTCCCACCTAGAACATTACTTGATGAGCTTTTGTGTGCACAGTAGTTGTTACCATCTTTCCTGGATGAGACAGCTCAGATTTACAGCTGCTAAATGCATTAGACCTAAGGTATTTTGTTGATGTTAACATTTGCTGCCAACGTCTAATGGCACATCTTGTTTACAGCCCGTAAATTTATGACATAAGGAGACCACTCAGAATTTTGATATATTATGAAAAAAAACACCCAGCAATGCCAAACACATGAATGGTTTTACATTTCAGACAGATACTTCTACACACCATTGATTGCATTTTAATATAACAGCCATTTCATTTTGTTCTGCTGATGGATTCTGATCAGCTCTTGGCACTTAGGAACAGGGAAGTGAATGTCACACATCTGGGAAAATAAAAGTTTTATTAAAGAAAGCATGAGCCAAACGGGTATTTTATTGCTGTCTTTGCTGTCACCTTAAATGATTATAGAAGTAGAAAGGCTGGTTCTTCACTCTCTTTCCTAACAGGCAATCCCCCAAAGTGGTAAATACTAGACCAGATCTTTTCTCACTAAGTATTTCCTTTTGCTTATCCCTGGACCAAAATATATTTCATGAATGAACAAACAAAACGTCATAAAGGAAACTCTGGGTTTTATAGTAGCTAGCTGCATTTAGTTTGTGACATTACAGGTCTTTTGCTAGGTGCATAGTATCTTGTACTGTTTGGATAAGTCTGAGCTATGGAATTAATGACTCTTGGTCTTCATGGATTAGAGGCAGGCTGCAACTAGAGTTGGGTTGGTTCGCAGGCACTCACTTGGCAAATATTCGGTGTTCTATCATCCCAATGACATTTCTGGGTGGATGGAGGTGGGGGACCCAATACTTTCTTGAAGGAGAAAATTATTACTTTTTCATTTTCACTTGTTGACCTGCAGGCCATTGAAAAGTTGGAGCCTTTTTTTAAAAAAAATATTTATTTATTTGGCTGTGCCAGGTCTTAGTTGCGGCACATGGGATCTTTTAGTTATGGCATGTGAGATCTTTAGTTGCAGCTTGCAAACTCTTAGTTGCGGCATGTGGGATCTAGTTCCTAGACCAGGGATTGAGCCCAGATCCCTTGCATTGGGAGCGTGGAGTCTTAGCCACTGGACCACCAGGGAAGTCCAAAAAGTTGGAGCCTTAATATTGTCTTGTCATCTCCCTTGTGATTTCAGGCATGGGTGAAAGCAGAATTCTTCCTGCATTTTTCCTTCTTGCGTTGACCTGGGTGTGATACCACCTGTCCTTCCTGTATGGGCTTGGAAGCTCTTGAAGACTTATTCTTCTTTCCTTTAATATGATTAACTTTGTGGCTCCCCATTGCATACTGTCCACAGTACATGGCATACAGGGCCCTTCTCAGGTTGGCTCAGCTGTTTTACCAGCCTTACCTCCTGCTATTTCCTACCTAATACTCTAACTCAGCCACATTGGATGCTCTGCTGTCTGGTCAACACACCAGGTACTTTATAGTTTACATGCCTTTGTTCACACAAGCCTGACCATTGACTGCTCTCTCCCCAGCACATACCTCTCCATTTTAGAAATAACTGTCAACTGCGAAAACCTGATTTTTCCCTCTAAACCCCAGGAAGAAATATGAACTCTTTCCTGTTCTCCCATGTCCTTCTTCACACAGTAGAGAGCATTTCCACACCGTAGTGTAGTTGGTTATATTTGTCATCTTCGATGGGTGGTGAATCCCTCACGTCTTACTCATTTTCTGTATTTGACTTGGAACTATTGTGTGGTGATAGCAAAGGGGGCAAAAGCTTTGGAATCAAAAGATCTAGGATGGAATTTCAACTCTGCTACTTATTAGCTGTGTGACCTTGGTCAAGTTGATTTGCTTTTCTTTGTCTCTGTAATTGCATTTGTGAAATGGGGATAAGAGTACTGAGGCAAAATACCTAATATCATGCCAGGGATATTGTAAGCCATAAATATACTTGTGGAATTGAAGCAAATGTGTCCTTTGATGAGGGGAATTTTCCTTCTGAAAATTACCAGTTCATAGCATGCTTTCCCCATCACTCTTAGGATTTCCATGTAGCCTCAGGAGCCTCAAGATCTGAGTTCTCCCAGGAAGCCTTGCTAACAACTGCAGTCCTCTGACCTCCTGTAGCATCAATTCACTGTCTGTGTGATAATAAAGATCCTGGAACATTATTGCCTGGACTTGTTAATATTTGCATAATACTTATATATCTTATCTTCTCATCTAGATTGTAATCGTCTTAAGAGTAGGATCTATATATCTTTTTATACTATAACATCTCTTCTGTTCCATCAAGATGTTTTATATGATAGACCCTTGGTTGCTATCTTTATTAATTTAAGTGTTGCTTGTAATAGGCTTTATCTCTGCAGTTGATATGCTGGTGGTGTTAGGACTGTTATAGGAGCTGGTACATACAGAGCTGCCCTCACCCAACCCCCCACCATGCTGCTCCCCACATCCTTCTCTGTACTGTTTGTGAATTTTCCCCATGTTTAGCTGGTAAGAGAACTGCTGCTGAATACCAATGAGGTCCCTGCTATACTTATGTAGAAAAATCATGGAAATCCCTCAAGGGCACAACTCATAGAATAAAACACGATCACCTTAATGTGCACTGTTGTTTCTTTACAGGCTGTGTGTGTGTGTGTGTGTGTGTGTGTGTGTGTGTATGAAGCTTGCTTTGCTTGTGAGGATGATCAAACCATGCTAAATGAAACATCACAGGGAAGTATAAGAAGCACACTGTCCATCTAAATCTGGGCCCTGCCGTCCTGGTTTGTGCTGTTACAGAGCGAAATTGGTCTTTCACTCTTTGTCAGGCTGAGCTGCAGAAGCTGAGACAACAAGCATTGGAGACCAAACACTTCATTGAAAAGCAGGAAGCCGAAGAGAGAAAACTCCTGCGAATCATTGCCGAGGCTGATGGGGAGAGGCTGAGACAGAAGAAGGAGTTAGACCAGGTAAGAACATCTCCTCACCAGACCTGCAGACCTTATCAGCAGACACAACTGTTTGATGCAACTCTTCACAAAGCCTCATTCTTTTCTAAGCTCTTCCCTTCAGTCTATCAGAAGAACAGCCCCAGAGGCCCACCTTCTGTTGATTAATTATGAAATATTCATTCATTTATTCAGCTCCTATTTATGAGCACTTACTATGTGTCAGCCACTCCTCTAGGCTCTGGGGAATACACTGACCAACAAGAAAATAAGGTCCCTGTCCTCAGGGAGCTTACATTCCAGCATAATATAATTGCCCGTGTATAATTACAGTGAATAATTACATAATTTGGGGGTTAGAAACTTAAATGCTTTCAGAGATCTGGCAGGTTAAGAAAAAGAGACATTGGCTAATGCAAGACAGTAAGGAATAGTAGAACTTGGCAAGAGTTAGCTCACCCTAAAGGCATTCAAATTTAAACACTTAAAATGTGTTGGAGAAAACCAACCAAGCAAACAGGCATGGGCCAAGGATTATTGTATTATTATTATTATGGATTATTTGTTGTACTCTTTCCAACAAGGCTGCCAACTCTCATGGGAGGAGTCCAGTGTTGGTTGTCTAGCAGGCTATTTCCAGGGCCTCACCCAATGGGTGCCTAGCACATGTGGCCATTGGATGGGTGTTCATTGACAGACTGAATGCTGCTGCCACGATGAAACGTGGGACTTTTTGTCCCCTGGTGGCCGTGCCCTTCCCTACCTTTCTAGGTCATCAGCGAGAGAGATATCCTTGGGTCACAGCTAGTCCGGCGCAATGATGAGTTGGCTTTGCTCTACGAGAAGATCAAGATCCAGCAGTCCGTGCTGAATAAAGGCGAGAGCCAGTACAACCAGAGGTTGGAGGACATGAGAATCCTCAAACTTGAGATCAAGAAGCTTCGCTGGGAAAAGGGGATTCTTGCCAGGAGTGTGGCTAATGTTGATGAACTCAGGTAATAGAAGACCCCCTGGGAGCTGAGCACACAGCACTCTGTGGGGAGCTCCTGAAATGACCTTGTGTTCCTCCTGTTGGTCATTGAAGGTCTTCATCAAGTTGCATAAAAATAATTTTTTTTATGTTGAAATGATTAGCAGATAATGAGAACAACTTTTCCATAATCCAGAATCTATATCGTGCCCATTCTATGTCACAAAAAATGAACTGGTTTCCTTTCAGGGGAACATAAGCAAGTGCAAAAGGATTTTTTGAAAACTTTATTCTGGATTTAGAAAAAGAAATTTCAAGTCAAATCATAACCACAAACTAGTTACAACTCAGAAAAAAATTCCCCCAGTGAGCTTTTTAGAATTTCTTTAATAAGGCAGTATGCAAGAAATGGAGCATCAATATTTAAATTGAATCCTGGTAACGTCTGCACGTCCTTTTCTTGGAATTACATGCAGAATGAAAAGAGGGGAAACATTTAATTTTACACTGTTTGAAAACTGTTTCCTTAGAAGGCGGCCAGATTTTGCATCTCACTCTTGATTTATCTTCTGCGGCTTTCATTTGAGCTTAGTGTGCCTTCTCTTTGCTTTAAATCTTACATTATACAAGATCTACTTTCCCTTTGGGAAAACATCACCATATTTCATATAGGCAATTGCAGGAAACCACATAATAGGTCTGGTGTTTTCACAGTAGCTATCTTACTCTCCACAGACTGGTAGATGAACAGTATCCTTGGCCACCTTGGGACAAGGACACAGTTTGGATCTACTTCTTAAATTAATTGAATTAGATAGTTTTGATATTTAAATGCAGTGAATATGTTCAGGAAGAGCAAGGGAAGTTGCCACCATCTTGGACAGATCAATACTCTATTTTTTCTTTTAAAGAGTTGCTCATATTTCAGACGATGAAAGTAGTACAGATACATTGTAGAAAACATGGGGCATGCAGAAAAATTATGAAGACGTGATTAGAAAATCTCTCATAAGTTTACTATCCAGAGATGCTACCATTGACATTTTGGAGACAAATGGGTTCATTCTAAGTAGCTATTGAATGATCTCCAGGACCATCACTAAACTTGCCAGCCATGTGTTATTTTTATTATATACGCAAAGGACCAAATTCTACCCATTCTCAGTCAACATTGCTGGTTTGTTGATAATAGATTTTACCTTTCTTTATAATGGGAAGACAATAAAAATATTGGAGGCAAGCAGGCATGAATTCCAATCTCAGACTTGTCACCTACAAGCTGTGTGACCTTGGGCAAATCACTTATCTGAGCTTAAGGCTTGCAGTTAAAATTAAACACGAAAAGGACCGTAATATGCCTAGCACAGAGTCTGGTACAAAAGAAGTCATCGATAATAGTAGCTAATACTCTTGCCCTTTGCTGTTGATGACACTCTAGAAAATCGTAGTGTTAAAAATATGGTTTTAATTCTAAGCAGCTTGAGCTCCCTGTTGAGTGAACATTATGCAGTTAATTCTAATGGTTTGTCTTGCTAATGAGGGGAAGTTGTATTATTGGTTTAAATGAAGCAATTAAGTAAAAGACATGGCTTAGTATTAGTAATTGCTCACACTCAGCAGATGAGGACAGATAATAATATCCTCTTGCCCGTGTCAACGCGAGTGCTTGCCTCTTCTCCACCTCCCAGCAGAGCTTCTGTTTCAGTAGGGTGGCAGCCAGCTCACTGGATACTGTGGATGGCTGTAGCACGTTACCTATTAACTAGAGATTCCTACAGATTTTAGAAGTATGTTTGAGCCAGAGCTAGCTCTTCGGGACTTTTTCAGCCATCTGTGTAGTTGCGGAACATGAGAGAAAAGATCACTTCTAATTTGGTGTTTTTCAATGCTGGCTGCACATTAGAATTACCAGCAGGACTTAAAAAATCTATGAAACCCAAGCTGCATGCTAGACCAGTTAAAGCAGAATCCCTTTGGGGGTTGGGTCCAGGCAAAGGTATGTTGTTAAAGTTCCCCAGGTGATTCCCGTATGCCATCAGGGTGGTGATGCACTGCCCTAATTGATGTCAGGTTCTCACCTGAGCCTCAGTCTCTTGCATTCAGATGCCATACCTCATGGTGGAATGTGGCTTGTTTTCTTCTGCTACTGTAGGAGACATTTAGACACATTGAACAATATATTGAAATCCTCATAATTTACCTCCTCCCTCTTCTTTCCATATACTTCTAAAATTCCTCGGGTATCCAGAATCATAATTCTGAAGCTCTGGCACTTTTTTTGTAAAGCTAAAGCTGAAGTCTGCACTCTGCAGGAATTGACATCATCTGTGTCTTGCGCGGATTAGGAGGCTGGTCTCAGTGGTCCTGACGTCTCTCTGATCCCAGCTTTTTGTATAAGATGTAGTGGGCACATAAAGGATATTCAAATGGGTGCAGAACTTCTTTGCAAAAGAAAGTTTGTCTTATTCAGGCAGGAGCTTTTTCACACGCAAAGGGAATTCTTGAAGGAGAGGACAAGATGCCGAGCCCTGGAGGAGGAACTGGAGAACCCCATGAATGTGCACAGATGGAGAAAGCTCGAGGTAACATTCGGGGGAGCCTTCCTCCCACCCCCAAACCTCCTTCTAACCTGCTTGTCTTCTTACCTAAAGCACAATAAGAAGCATGTTTTTATTTAATGCTCTGCCATTGTCACCTAAAATCCAAGGCTAGATCAAATGTAAATTGGATTGTTCCAGATTTGGGTTTTGCTTTTAAAAGTCTTGGACAAAATCCTTTCTGCCTAAAGAAGACCCAGTGAAAGCTGTGAACTGGCCTCACCAGTTGACGTTGATTGTTGTTATTTTTTGTTGTTGTTTAAGCAGTTTTTGGTCAACCAGCTCTTTTGCGGCTACCTGTTTGCCTTGGATGGTTAATTGCCTTCAGCTGCGCTGGCTACCAGCGTCTTCGCCATCTTTCAATTGGCCTTTGCACCCTTTTATTTCCCAAAGAAAATAGGGCTTTTGTGAACTTGCACTCTTTTCAAAAACTAGCATTGTGCTAGTCAAACTCCTCCTTTTAGGATCTGGGAACACAGCCAAAGTCCCGTTGGTAGGTGACGGATAATAAACCTCATATTTTATTTTATGACCTCCTGATAGACATTTCCACCAGCAGATAACAGTAACAGACAAGCTCTGCTTATTCAAGAAAAAGATGCCCATCTCCTTTAGTTGTACCCAGCAATGTGGGTGCCAGAAGGGGCTTTGACTAAGTGAACAATTAGGGTGTTGGGAGAATAGAAGTATGGGATATAAGAAAGAGCAGGGCAAGGGGGAAAACAGCCAAGTAGGTTTTTGTTTTCTATTTTCACTTTTTCCTTTAAATGAAGAAAGCATTAAGGATAATGCATTATAAATTGTTATGTAAACATGAGGCCTGAGTTTTAACGACATCCAGTCTTGCCAAGTGAATGTGTGCCAAATCTACTTCCAAAATATGGATATCGGTTGGCACTGCTTAGTATTTCTTAAGCAAAGTCATAGTCAATGGAATATCTCCCCCCACCTCTTTTGGACCCTCATTTATTCCTCTTCAAATGCCAAGAGTGGAGTAGCTTACTAAATAACAATAACATGGATGCGTTTGGGGAAGTGGAGCTGAAAATTTAATTAAATTAAATTAATTTATTTATTTTTGTGGTAGCTTTGGTTGTTGAACAACTTTTTTTTTTTAAATTGGAGTCCAGTTGATTAACAATGTTGTGTTAGTTTCAGGTGTACAGCAAAGTGATTCAGTTATACATATACGTGTATCTATACTTTTTCTAAGGAGCTGAAAATTTTAAATTCAGTTACTGTCACATTAGTTTATTCCATGTGTTTTCAAGCAGATCTTTAAAGTTTCCAATTCCATGTCAATGTCTATTAAAAAAATTAGAAAATAGAGACTCTGGGAGGTAGTTGAAAATATTTAGCTGCTAGATTAATTCAGAATGTCAGTACAGTTGAAAGTAAAGCTTTGGTTCAACGTCTAGAGGACAAATTATCAATATGTAACTGTAGATCTTGTTTGAATTGTACACAGATAGCTACTGAAGGCGCATCAGAGCCTTACGGATTGATAATGCCATTTGAGAGCTAAATGCCATGGTCCTGTTCTGCTGCCAATTATTAGCAGATGTCCACATCCTAGAAACTTACCCCATCATAGGCTGTAATGAATCTTCTTTGTTGACAGTTATGAAAGGAGAATCCTGAAACCGAATGAATTAGGGAACCCTGTCTCATTCCTATGGAAACAGAAATGATGGTAGGGAAAACCTCAGAGCATAGTAATTAAGAAGCCCAGGCTTTGGAGCCAGGCATATCTGGGCTTGAATCCAGCTCTGACCTTCATCGGTGTGTGTAAATGACCTCCTCTGAGCCTCAGTTGCCTTATCTGTAAAAGGGGAAGATAATACTGTCTAGTAGGGCTGTCATGTGACTAAAATTTGATAATGTATGAAAAACACTTAGCATAGTGTCCAGATGGCGGCAGAGAACCAGGTACCTGGCCCAGGAGCTACCGTTATTGCCGCTGTTGTTATTATTTCCCCTGGTGGAATAAACATACTCACTTTCCATTTATTGGCTAACTAGAGCCAAACATCAGTCTGTTTTGATGAGTGTCTCATCTGTTGTACTTTTTATTTTTTTGGTTCTGATTCTTTCTGTATTGGGTCTGCATCTTTGCGATAGATTTTAACAGAACAATAATTATTTTACATAGGGACCTCAGTGCTTTGAAACTGATAATTTCAGCTACTTTATTTTGCTCCCCTTGAGTAGGCCAGTGACCCCAGTACCTTTGAGCTGATACAGAAAATTCATACCCTGCAGAAGCGTCTCATCAGCAAGACAGAAGAGGTGGTTGAAAAAGAGCTGCTCCTTCAGGTAGCATTTCCATTGTCTGTACTCATTGAACAAGTATATTTTCTTAGCACCATCATCTCCAGGACAATGTTTTCAGAATTAGTTATTTGGCAGTGTTGCATGCCCCATTTTTAACTGTAGATGGCAACAGGGACTCACACACAGAGAACAAACAATCTGATTAATTGGTCTTTTATGCTGCCATCACTGATATTTCAAGAATTCTAGAAAATTAAGTTCAAGGCTACACTTACTGCATTGGGTAATGTGAGCTCCCCGCTGCTCTGCAGTTTTATTCGTTAGATTCTTTTAAATACTTTTCTTCATATCTTCATATAATGTGAAATGCCATGATTTTGACTTTGAAAACTAGCTTTCACATAGAGCGCAAATGTCCTCTTGAAGGTTTGTGAGAGTGAAATGGAAGGAAAGGTATCTTTTTGAGGATTTTATGCAGTAAGTTATTCTGGAGCAATTAACAATGGTAGCAGCCTTGTGGGCCTGTATCTTTGCAAGTGCCAGTTGTCACCACCATCATTTCCTTCATCACCATTATCATCATCGTGCCAGATACTGTGCTGGTGGCTTTATCTCCTTGTCTCAATTCCTCTTCACAGTTCGGGGGTTGGGGGTTGTCATCCCCAATCAGCGGATGAGGAAGATGAACCTCAGGAGCTTGGTGTGGATAAAGAATATAAACTCTGGTGTTAGGTGGCCTGGGTTGGAATCCTGCCTCTGCCAATCTGTAGCTGTGTGAGGTTAACTTCTCTGCACCTGAGGTTCTTGATCTGTATTATGGGACAATATAGAACCTATGAAAAGGGATGTTGTTGGGACATTAAGAGTGTGCAAGACTAATGGCTCAGGATCTCCATCTTTGACATCATACATTGTCCTATTTCGTGCACTCACACAGATGCTCCTGGGCTGCCTGGGTCCTAACTCCCCAGATGTGGGGAGAGAGCTCCTATACTTTGCTCCTGGCCCATATCCCTGATTTCTGAGGGCACTCTAGTGTGGGGAAAGCCTGTGATTCTCCCGGGTAATAAAATTAACCAGCACTAGGTAGAGAATTCTAGAATATAAGGCTACTTGTCCCCAGTAGTGTGACCATTTAACTTCAGTAGCTCCCTACAAAACTGAGTAATTCAGTGAAAGGAAGAGCATGGCTTCACTCTACAGGCAGCACAGAAACTAGCACGTAATTGTGCCAAAAGAATTCATTTATCCCCCTTCATTTTAGCTGCCCTCAGTCATAGTCTCAGGTTTCATCACTCTCGTTCAATCCCCACACGGGGAAAGCATGACACCTCAATGTCCTCGGTCACCGTTTATCATGTACCAACAACAGTAGCTCCCTCTTTTGCCTGGGCCCTCCGTGTGGCTGGCCTCATGGAAGGTCTGTGTCTCTGTTCGTTGTTTTCTCTACAGTCAGTGAAATCTGAACATGGGATGTGTGTTGGATGACATTAAGAAATTAGTGTTGATTATATAAGGTGTAGTAGGAGTGTTATGGTTATGTTTTGTAAAAAAAAAAAAGAAAAAGCCTTTTTATAAGAGAGATGTATTGAAGTATTTACAAATGAAATGATACATAGTCTGGGGTTTATTTTAGAATTTTCCAGCAAAGAAATGAAGAAAGGGGGAAGGGATCGGAGACACATGGTTATGGAGATGGAGGATCGATGAAATAAAGTTGGCAAAATGTTAAAAATAAAAGGCATGTTGAAAGGAGGATTGAAAGAGCTTAGCATTATGCTTGGCAAATAAATGACCAATTATTCTTATTATTTCTAATTCCAAAGCCCATAATATTAACCATACATTGGGTTCATTCTGTTCTTTTTCTACCTGGTTAAGGTTGGTGCTCAGCTCATTAATGTTCAGCCTACTTTTCTAATATAACTAAGCATTTACAGGTACAAAATGTCCTTGAAAAACTTTCATTTCTTCCTGCAGGTTTTGAAACGTGGTATCTTCATTTTCATCTAGTCCTAAATATTTTCTATTTTCAAAATTATATTTCTATTTTGAGAGTAAGTCTTAAAAAATATCCACTGTTTCTCCTATGATAATTAAAAGTACAAATTTAAATTTCTAAAATATAGTTATTTAAGTTATCCTTTAGTTATTGATTTCTCACTTTTTGCATTGTGATCTGTATTATACTGATTCTTTGGAATTCATTGAGACTTGTTTTGTGACCAGCTAAATAGTCAGTTTTATTTATTTATTTTTTAACCAGCTTTTAGTTTTATTGATCTTTGCTATTGTTTTCTTTGTTTCTATTTCATTTATTTCTGCTCTGATATTTATGATTTCTTTCCTTCTGCTAACTTTGGATTTTGTTTTTTTCTTCTTTCTCTAGTTCCTTTAGGTTTAAGGTTAGATTGTTGGAGATTTTTCTTGTTTCCTGAGGTAGGCTTGTATAGCTCTAAACTTCCCTCTTAGAACTGCTTTTGCTGCATCTCATAGGTTTTGGATTGTGGCGTTTTCATTGTCATTTGTCTCTAGGTATTTTTTGATTTCCTCTTTGATTTCTTCAGTGATCTCTTGGTTATTTAGTAATATGTTGTTTAGCTTCCACGTGTTAGTGTTTTTTACGTTTTTTTCCCTGTAATTGATTTCTAATCTCATAGCACTGTGGTCAGAAAAGATGCTTGATATGATTTCAGTTTTCTTAAATTTACTGAGGCTTGATTTGTGACCCAAGATGTGACTTATCCGGGAGAATGTTCCGTGCGCACTTGAGAAGAAAGTGTAATCTGCTGTTTTTGGATGGAATGTCCTATAAATATCAGTAAACTCTATTTGGTCTGTTGTGTCATTTAAAGCTTGTGTTTCTTTATTAATTTTCTGTTTGGATGATCTGTCCATTGGTGTAAGTGAGGTGTTAAGGTCCCCCAGTATTACTGTGTTACTGTGGATTTCCTGTCTTATAGCTGTTAGCAGTTGCCTTATGTATTGAGGTGCTCCTATGTTGGATGCATATATATTTATAATTGTTATATCTTCTTCTTGGATTGATCCCTTGATCATTATGTAGTGTCCTTCCTTGTCTCTTGTAACATTCTTTATTTTAAAGTCTATTTTATCTGATATGAGTATTGCTACTCCAGCTATCTTTTGACTTACATTTGCATGGAATATCTTTTTCCATCCCCTCACTTTCAGTCTGAATGTGTCCCTAGGTCTGAAGTGGGTCTCTTGTAGACAGCATATATATGGGTCTTGTTTTTATATCCAGTCAGCAAGCCTGTGTCTTTTGGTTGGAGCATTTAATTCATTCACATTTAAGGTAATTATCTATATGTATATTCCTATGACCATTTTCTTAATTGTTTTGGGTTTGTTTTTGTAGGTCCTTTTCTTCTCTTGTGTTTCCCACTTAGAGAAGTTCCTTTAGCATTTGTTGTAGAGCTGGTTTGGTGGTGCTGAATTCTCTTAGCTTTTGCTTGTCTGTAAAGCTTTTGATTTCTCCATTGAGTCTGAATGAGATCCTTGCCGGGTAGAGTAATCTTGGTTGTAGGTTCTTCCCTTTCATTACTTTAAGTATATCATGCCACTCCCTTCTGGCTTGTAGAGTTTCTGCTGAGAAATCAGCTGTTAACCTTATGGGAGTTCCCTTGTATGTTATTTTTCGTTTTTCCCTTGCTGCTTTCCATAATTTTTCTTTGTCTTTAATTTTTGCCAATTTGATTACTGTGTGTCTCTGTGTGTTTCTCCTTGGGTTCATCCTGTATGGGACTCTCTGAGCTTCCTGGACTTGGGTGGCTATTTCCTTTCCTATGTTAGGGAAGTTTTTGACTATAATCTCTTCAAATATTTTCTCCGGTCCTTTCTCTCTCTCTTCTCCTTCTGGGACCTGTATCATGTGAATGTTGTTGTGTTTAATGTTGTCCCAGAGGTCTCTTAGGCTGTCTTCATTTCTTTTCATTCTTTTTTCTTTATTCTGTTCCGCAGCAGTGAATTCCGCCATTCTGTCTTCTGGGTCACTTATCCGTTCTTCTGCCTTACTTATTCTGCTATTGATTCCTTCCAGTGTATTTTTCATTTCAGTTATTGTGTTGTTCATCTCTGTTTGTTTGTTCTTTAATTCTTCTAGATCTTTGTTAAACCTTTCTTGCATCTTCTCGATCTTTGCCTCCATTCATTTTTCGAGGTCCTGGATCGTCTTCACTATCATTATTCTGAATTCTTTTTCTGGAAGGTTGCCTATCTCCACTTCATTTAGTTGTTTTTCTGGGGTTTTATCTTGTTCCTTCATCTGGTACATAGCCCTCTGCCTTTTCATCTTGTCTATCTTTCTGTGAATGTGGTTTTTGTTCCACAGGCTGCAGGATTGTAGTTCTTCTTGCTTCTGCTGATAGTCAGTTTTTATAACCAATGCCTAGGTGCTTGAAAAAGATATGTATTCTCCAAATGTTAAAGATTCGGGAGTCTATATGATGTTCGTCAGACCAACCTTGTTAATTGCATTGTCCAAATCTATACCTTTCCTAATTATTTTGTCTACCTAATTACAGAAAAAAAGTTTGGAGATTTGTCTATTTTTCCTTGTAGTTTTTGGCCTTAAGTACATTTTAGATTATGTTCACAAGGTGAGGAAAAGGTTATAGTTAATACTTCTTCCTGTTGAATTGTTCCTTTAATATTATGCAAGAACCCTCCTTAATCCTTAATGCTTTTACTTGTAAAATTGTGTGATATTAATATAGCTTTACCAGTTTTTTTTGCATCATTTTTCTGTACTTTTAAACTTTTGGTGTCCTTATATTTCAGTGAGTCTCTTGTAATAAAAAAACAAACCTAATCTGATATTTTTGTTTTTTGACTTGTGTGTTTAGTCTATTTATATTTATTGATAATTTTAGGGTTATTTCTACTTCTTATTTTCTATTATTTACCCTGATTTTTTTTTTTAATGCTCAAAAATAGTGTGTTCCTGCTTTCTGTTGGACTGAGTTTTCTTTATTCCCTCTTTTTCCCTCCACCACTCACTTCTCTCTCCTCATTACTCC